AAAGGCACCATTATTTAATCTAGTTTTATTATTTTTAAGGAATAGAGTATGCAGTTAATTTTTCCATTTTAGAATGAAGAACATGAGCTTCTTTGAGGTGAAGATCTTCTGAAGGTCACACAGAGGGTAAATGGAAAGGTAGATATGAGCATATTTCTTCTGGTTGCAGCATCAGTGCTCATTCCACCCTGCCCCCCTCCTCAATATCTCCAGGGGAGAGCATTCAAGTGAATCAGTGGAGTGAAAAGTAAGGGAAACAGTGGTCTTGCAGAGACACAAGGTCAGAAGTGTGGGGTGATCAATTTTTGTCTTCTCTAGGAGTGAGAGCTGGACCTTCAAGAAGCCAAACACTGTTTCCAAGAAACTGAAGAGTACATACTTAATTCCAGATTTGAGTGGGATGCTGCAAGTGTTTAAAGGTAAGGAGGGTCAGAGGAAGGTTGTGGGTGTGGAATTCTTGTAGTATCAGGGCAAAATGGGAGAGAGGATGTTGTTTCTAGACGAGAGAAGATCTAGGCTTGACAAGGAGAGCTAGATCTCTAATGCTGAAGGTGTGATCAGACCTAAGGGGGAATGGTCAAGGTGTCTGGTTCGTCATCTCATTCACCAGTTCATAGCCTCACAGGACTCCCCTCCCTATCCCCATTCTAGTGAGAAGATAGGTATCAGTGTTTACTCCTTGCTTCTAACAACATCATTGAAACTTTTGTCATTTCAGAGCTGACAGAGGTCCGACGCTACTGGGGTAAGAAGGAGTTACAGGTTCTTCAAATCACCATATTCTGATCCCTTTTTAGACGTTGTGGTTACTACCAGGTCCTATGATCTTAGCTTCATGTGTTACTACCAGGTCCTATGATCTTAGCTTCATGTGTTCCTCCCCAAACACGCATGCCTACAACAGTTCTTAAGTGTTCTACTCATCTCTCACCCATCAACATAAGTTCCTCCCAGTCAATTCCTGATATTCCACCTCCCGATGTCACACGACACACCTACTCTGTAACCATCACCTGACCCTGTCATTTTTCCTACAGTGGACGTGATGCTGAAGCCAGTCAATGCTATTTCGAATATTGCCCTTTCTGCTGATAAAAGACAAGTGAAAGCTGTGCACAACTTCTCGCTTAAAAATATATTTCTAAGCGATTTCTCTGCTTTTGATGTCTTGGGCTGCCAATATTTCTCCTCAGGGAAGTATTACTGGGAAGTAGATGTGTCTGAGAAGATTGCCTGGATCCTCGGGGTGTATAGTAAAGCAAGAAACCTCAAGAGAAAAGGGAGCTCTGGGTTTGTTTTTGATCCAAATGTAAAACATTCAGATGTTTACTCCAGATACACACCTCAATTTGGCTACTGGGTTATTGGGTTACAGAATGGATCTGAGTATAAAGCCTTTGAGGAGTCTTCCACCTCTGATTCCAAGGTCTTGACTCTTTTCATGCCTGTTCCTCCTTGTCGTGTTGGGGTTTTCCTAGACTATGAAGCCCGTATTGTCTCATTTTTCAATGTCACAAACCAGGGGTCACTCATCTACAAGTTTTCTAATTGTCAGTTTTCTCAGACTACTTACCCATATTTCAATCCTTGGAACTGTCAACACCCAATCACCCTGTGCACACCGACTTCCTGAACCTTCTTAGTCCCCTCTTACTTCTGTGTAGCACCCCTTGTCCTTGGGTTCATCTACACCTGAGCTCATCCGCACCATTCTGAACACATCTTCTTTCTTTTCTCCATCTTTCATTTTAGAATGTTTTTGGAGTAGTCTGCTAGGACTGCTGTAACAAAGTCCCCCCAAACAAAGGCTAACAACAGAAATTTCTTGTCTCACAATTCTGGAGGCTGAAGTCTGAGACCAAGGTGTCAGCAGAGTTTGTTTGTTTTCTGAAGGCTGTGAGGGAAGGGTCTATTCCTTGCCTTGCAGATGGCTGTCTTCTCTGAGTTCCCTATTCAAATCATCTTCCCACTTTGCATTTCTCTGTGCCTAAATCTCCCTTTTTCTAAGGACACCAGTCAGATTGGAAAAGGACCCACCCTAATTACATCATTTTAATTTAATCACCCCTCTAAAGACCCTATCTCCAAAAGGTCACATTCTCAAGTATTGGGGGTTAGGATGGTAACATATGAATTTGGGGGGAACACAAGTCAACTCCACAGTCTTTTACACATCCCTACCATGCAGTGAAAGCTTGATGTTTTCTTCCTAATATTTTGTTTTCATTAGGGGAGAATGCTTTATTTTTCCTTATTAGTTTTTGCTTAGTATTAGGAGAGACTGCCTATTTGCAAAGGGAACACATCTAATCCCTTCTATAGAAAGAGCAGTATTGCTGTACCTCCTCTGACATCTCTTTTCCTCATTCCCTCTGCTGTTGAATGGAATTAACAAAGGAAAAGTTATCAATTCTATCTAAGTGCATAGGACATAGAACAGTGCATAGGGATCTGTCACTAGGGACCGGATCCTTCAGAGCGTATTGCCTTATCAGTGGCACCCCTGCATGTATCACAGAGTTAAAGCAGAAGCACATAAGTAAAATATTTATCAAGAGTAGATTTTTGGTGCTCAGAGTTTCTGAGGTCAAATGTTGTCTCATTACTTAAAAGCCGTGTAAACTTGAGCAACTTACTTAGCACCTCTTGGTCTCACTTTCCTAAAATAAAAAATGCTGTTAAAGATTGTACCTATTTCCTAGGGTCACACTGAGAAACCAAATTTTATTAGATGTGAAGCACTTACCTAAGAGTCTTATATGTAAGAATAAATATTTTTATTGCGGAAAAAATACAAGCTGTATCGATGAGAAACAATTTTTTGTTTGTTTTGGTTTGGTTTGGTTTTGCTTTAATAAAATGATAATTGACTCTACTGAAGTCTCATTTCTCAGATCCTAAAATCCCATGCAGACAGTATGGCTTTTCATGATGTGTCCTGTAGAGAAGGTCAGGTCTAGGCTCAGCTGTGCTTATGAGAGACAGCCTTCTGGTGCTCAGTCCTTTTCCTTGTGGTGAAACACCTGAGTATGCCACTGCATTTACCCCCCTCTGCACTCTCCCCCTTCTCCTTCTTCCCCTCCCCCCTCAGTCTCCCCTCCCCCTCCTCCCCATCCTTCTCCATCCTTCTCCATCCTCTCCTCCTTCTCCTTCTTCTTCTTTAAAGAATATGAAATGAAGGATAGAACTACCTAGGACAGTGAAGACACAGATTGTTCTTCGAGAAGAATGCATTATAAATTAGGGCAGGCTATGCCACTATACAAAATTTCAATCAAGATTTGTAGGACCTTAGAGAAAGATGGGTATCTTGGCCATGCTGGATAAAACTGAAAATGTCCGGCGTGGGATCGATGTATATATCTTTACATGTCTATCTATATGCACACACACATATCTGTACACATATGGGTGTATATATACATGTAACCATTTGTATAAATACATGTATATATATTAACATTATCTTGGTTAGTCTTTACAAATACTTTAAGAGGGAGAAATTTATATCAGGCGATTACAAGAATTTATAAACTACAGAAAAAGGAGTTTATAAACCATTAGAATTTTCTCCTATGGTCCCAAGGCTAGAGAGTGAGAGAGGCAGCTGTGTGTTACTCCAGAGCTGTGGCTCTCCTCTGCACCACACGACAGAGAGGGCAGCAGCCTGACTCCCAAGGGTGTGGGGAAGAAGGGAGAGCCAGGACATGCTCCCTGCAAGCGGAAGCCTGGTGCATCTTAGGGAAAACCTTAGGGCCATGAAATGCAATTTGATATGCTCAATCCATGTAGCCTAAATGACACAGAAGTAGGTCATGACCCATAGGCATATTATGCCGAGCTTCGTCATGGCCAGCGTTCTATTGTAGATGACATGAAGAAAATATCCCGCTTTTTAGTGTAGACGGTGAACATTGGAATTGGAGGTTATAAGACTGGCCTCTGAAACAGATCAAATTTTGCATAATGATGATATAGTTCCTTTGCGGCCCCTACCAAAATAACTAAGTTCTATGGGATTCAATTTCTCGTGTATAAAATAAATAAAAATAATAAAACTTACCTGATGAGGATGCTGTGGGACTTTTAAATACTAGGAAATTGGAGATAACCTGCTGTTTTCTAGCACATAAGTACTGCCCCAGACTTGTGCCTATTAGTGTTTTTTATTGGTTTCTTTTCTGACTTGAAATAAATGATTTTAAGAAAAGCTCATTCATTCATTCTAAAATAATTAACTTTGTTTTATTTCAAGAAATAGAATAATTTGAGTAAAGAATCAGTCTTTAAAACTCATTTCTATCCAGTTCTAAAGTAAATATTACATTATTGTAAAAACAACTTCATTCTCATCATCCCCTATAATCATAATAGCCTCTTCAACTTAACATACTAGATGAAATTGAATTCGTGTTCTCCTGCTCTCCAACAAACTACCACGAAGTTAGTGGCAGCCTTAACTTTTAGGCTTAAAAGAATGCACAATTATTATCTCACAGTTTCTGTGGATCAGGAGCCTGGACACAGTTTTGCTGGGTTCTCTCATTTAGCATCTGGCCGGGATGCGCACACGGTGTTGCCTAAGTTACGGGTGAGAGCGGGGAAGGGTCTGGATCTAAACTAACTTAGGTTTTTGGAGAACCCTTGCACTTTGCACGTGCAGGACTGAGACCCTCAGCTTCTACAGAGTGTCCAAAATTCCTCGCTCTGTGGCTATCCATAGGAAGCTCATAATGTGGCTGTTACTTCTTCAAGGCCAGCAGGAGAAAGCACCTCTAGGGAGACAGCCTTAGATAACGTCACCTACCCACCATAATGACAGCTCATCACCTTTGCCACATTCCATCGGCCATAAGGAATTCACAAATTCTGCCTTCTCTCTAGGGGAAGGGATTGCACAAAAGCATGAACACCAGGATTTGGGAATCACTGGGGGTCTCTTCACCCAGAGGGGTTTGAAAAAAGCTAGGGAGGCTGTTCCCCAGCCACTGCCCAGGGTGTCCTGCCAGGTGGGAACAGCCAATGGGCTTCTGGGAGCTGAGTGACTCTACACGGGCCCCTGGCCCTGATAGATACTCTGTAGTGCAGGCAGATGTTGACACTTCAGGAAGGAAAAAGAGTGTAGAGCCCTTTGGGATCCATTTGCCCAGCAGCCCTAAAAAGATGTTAGAGCCTTAATCAGATCGTCTTTGGAAGTAGGCAGTGTTGCTCCAGTTGGTAAGCAAGAACGGCAGTGTGGTACAAGCCCCATCCTGAAGAGGGAATTGGTGGCCCCGACAGCAGCTGCTGCCCCAACAGACTGCAAGCAGCAGCCACGTGCTTGCAGACACGGCCAGGAAAGCCTGCGGGAAGCTTGGGCTCCGCTCAAATCAGTCCGTCTGCACTGTGCCACCTGCTCTCCAGGCCCTCCCTGTGTCCCAATCCTGAGGGCCACCCCTGTGACTCATCCAGGGACCATGGTTTCCTCTGGAGCCGGAGGTGGTGAGAGGGCCCTGCCACTTTTGCCAGGATGTGTCTGCTTTCAGATACAAACAAGACTAGGAGTTAAGTGGTTGCCTCAAAGTCCTAAGGCCCTCCCCCTCTGCCTTGCCTCTCAGGATGATGCACCCTCCCCTCCCCCAGCGCACTCCTCTGTTCTTGTGACTCTCATCTAGTCTGTCTGGGGTGGTAAGTGTGGCTTTATTTTTTTCCTGAGTGGTGCTTTGCCACTAAGACCCTACAGGTACGTCCCCAGACTCTAAGTATTTTCAGTTGCTTTTGAGAGTATTGGAAAGCAATAACCCATATCGTCTTCAAGGTATGGAGAAAAATTCTCATAGCAGATAAATAAATGTTATTTTTCTTTCTATCAAACATGCCATTATGCTGAGTGGTCATCTTCAACAAATTCATGCAATTTTACAATATTTATATTTAATGTGTAACATTATATATATATATATTTGGTGTTTAATACAGTCTAGCAAAACTAGAATGAACTGATGATACCTTACAAGTGGCACCTGGGCCCTCACCATGTTTTCAATGGCCCCAGGTCTTCCTGTTCACTAAGAACTTCATTTCATTTTGCACTGCTGATTCCAGAAATATCATAGTCTCCTTATTTCTGTCTACCTTCATTAGGTATAGTATAAGAAATTTTTAAACAAAACATTTCTATTTTTTCTCTCCTAATCTTTGGGCTATAAAAATAGAGTTCTTGCTTATCTGAAAAAATATCTTCATTTTGCCTTTATTAAGAATATTTTCATTGCACACGGAATTGTAGACTCATATATATAATTTTTTTTCCTTCGGTTTTTAAAAAATATCATACCACTGCCTTCTGGCCTCTGGTGTCTCTAAATAGAGGCCAACAATCATCCCACTATATTTATTGTGCTGCTTCCTCTGGCTGCTGTCAAATTTTTCTCAGAACTTTGAATATAATGCTTGAAACTGATTTTCTTTGTATTTATTCTAATTAGGGTCTTTCATAAAATTAGGACCTTTTTGGTTATTATCCCTTTAAATATTTTTTGATGTATACTGTTTTCCTTTACTTTTAATTCTGGAATCCCAATTAAATGTATATTATTCCTTTTATTTTATCCCACAAGTTTCTGAGACTCTGCTTTCTTTTTTTCCCTTCCATTTTGTAAATATGTTTGTTCAAGTTGGATATTCTTTTCCTCTTTATTGAGGTATAATGGACAAATAAAAATTGTCTATATTTATTTAAGTTCTACAAAATAATGTTTTGATATATGTATATATTGTGAAATGATGACTACAATCAAGCTAATTAATATATCTGTCACCTCAGTGTTACCTTTTTTGTGTGGTGAGAATACTTCAGATTTACTCTCTTAGCAAATTTCAAGTATACAATACAGTATTTTTTTTTAATTTTTATTTATTTATTTTAGAAAGAGAGAGAGTATGTGAGTAGGGGGAGGGG